CATTAAATTTTTTGATGAACCATTCCCTTATTTGTCTATTTTCTTCAGACAAAAAATCCCTTTTTACCCATCCTTTATCTATGACAAACTTTTCTTGGATTTGAATTGTCAGAACTTCGAAATCAAATTCAGACATGGTTGGCTCATCAAGCTCAGTCTGAGAAGAGCTGGGAGTATTTACAGTATAAACAGGATGTTGTACCTGTTTTTCATTTTTTCTTAATCCTTCTAAAATGATTTTGTCACCATGCGCTTTTTCATAATTAGATTGAGGTACTGAAAAAGTTGAACTTCTAGGAGTATAAGTTAAAGGTACAGTATTCTTGGCAGGCAGCCTAGGAGCTAAAACAGTATTTGGAATACTAAATTTGGTTCTTCTAAGGGATGGAAATTGGATTTCAATTTCCCCATTTGGATATTCAATTATTTGTTCTGGCACTTTATTTTCGGGAATAGGTAGACGAGTCTCTGTTTGTAGAGACCAATTTTCAGGTAAGTTTACCTGCTTCCAGCATATAGCTTTAGGCTAGACAAGATTGGATTTTTCCATATTAGTTTGAAAAAATATTGTTTGTCCCTTTTTATCCATTAATCTTGCAATAGAACAAAGAGTGTTCATGACCTTATAACAAATTCTATAAACAAAAGCCAAGTTCTGGGATCTAGGGTCCATGTCAAACCTTGAGTTTTAAGGTTAAGAGTTCGAACTTTTAATAAATTTGGATCAGATAGGGACACAGAAAAATTTGGAAAGCAGTTGAAATATATAGGTCCATTACAGACACTCGACTTAACGATCCCTAAAAGAGAGTCACTGAATCTTCTCTGTCTACTATCTCTTAGACAGAGTAAAACTGAATTATTTAGTCCTTCTCTAATTAATCGTTTTACTGCTATTTGTACAAGACCTATATGAAGATAATTATAACCCCTTTTGATATGATCTGCAATCATTCTAGTTGAAAAGAGTTGAAAGCTATCTTGATTTTCCATAACTGAAAGAGTTTCTTCAATCGTTTTTATTGAAAAACTGCTTTTAAACTCAAATGTTCCCTTTTTATAAATATCATTTGTGGAGACCTTTGGGATGTTCCAGTTTTGCAATTGTTTCTCAATATTATATATGATTATTTCTTCTCTATTATTTACTCGTAGAGTAGTATTACTAGAACTACCAAAAGCTGTTCTATTCGATAGTGTTCTAAACAAATTTGTCATTTTATCTTAATTTTCTTTCCCTGAGTCAACCGGAACAGTCCATGCACCTTACGGCCTTCCTGGCTCACGGTGGTCTTTGGGTCACAGCGACTTTAGGTATGTTAACAAGATAAAATGTACACATTGGTTCGGTTTTCTACTGAATAAACTGGCTCTGATACCATTAATATCATTTTATCAGAGCTTTTAATATCTCATTGTTTAAACTGGCTATGGTAAAAGTTTATGGTAGTTTTAAATACTGAATATTGAGTATGACTTTTAAAAGTTTTTTGATATATCATAAATAAATGGGTATTTCAAAACTTTAATGAAATACAACCACTATACCTGAATAGCTTTAAAGATATATCTATTCATAGCTATATAAAAGACTATGGTGATTAGCTAGGGACTTTAATTAGACTATGGTGTATCATAAAAGTATCAAAATGTACTATATAAAAGTCCTATAAAGATATATCAAAGATCTTAGCTAGGGACTTTTTATGATATAGTTAAAAAGATATAGGGACTTGAATTCTATATATTTTCTATATAAAATATATACTTTAAATACTTTTTAAAAAAGATTTAAACTAGGGAGCTTTAAGTCCCTATACTTTAAAAGGGACTATATCTTTTATCGAGTATAGTCCCTATAACATGGCATAAAGTCCCTATCTTTATGCCATTTTATAGGGGATTATTTATGCCATTTTCAAAGATATCGGCTCAATGAGAACTAGGGACTTTATACCATTTTATAGTATGGGACTATATTATATTTAGTGGCATCTTTAGTGGCATTTTAAGGGATTATATAGTGGCCACTTAGTGGCATTAAATAAAGGGGCATTTTATGGTCCCTAGTCCACTAAATGGACTAAAGATGCCACTTTATGCCACTTCTAAGGGACTATATTATATACTTTAGTCCCTAAGTGGCGTCTTTAGCCCCTACAATTTAAGATAGTACGGGACTATAAGGGATATAGTCTCTTATAATCCCTTATAGTCACTTTATGCATAAAGTCCTTATAGGGATAAAATAGTATAGTCCCTATACTATTTAGTCCCTATATCAGTTTATATAAAAGATATAGGGACTTAAAGATATAGTCCCATAATGGACTATAATACTATTTAAAGGGCATAAATAGTATTTCTTTTAAAAGAAATACTATTTAGTTATAACTGGGGACTTTAAATATTAGCTAATACTCATAATTAAAGTCCCATAAATATTTAAGGACTTTTTTCTCATTCATATCATTAAAGATATATCAATAATCTCATTCTGGTGGTATTTTATCAAAATATGAGTATTCAAACTATTTATGGTATGAAGTCTTATGCATGCAAATGATAATGAAATTATGTATGAATACTACCCATTATTTTTTATGAATTTTATTTTATCCCTCCTCCGCTATTTGTAGTATCTTCCAAATATATATATATATATATATATATATATATATATAATAAGTAAG